CTACCTAGTGTTCATGAGCGGCGCAGCTCCGACGCGCTCCACGATCCTGGCAACCAAAGGCACACTCACCCAGCTCCCAGAGAACAGGAACAGACACCAGCAGCATGTGTGCTGCTGCCACAGAGGGTATTCCAGCTCAGCTGCCTTGGAGGGGACCAGAAACAGCCAAACTCAGATGTGGCTGAGTGCAGGGAGTGGGGATCTGAGCTCTGCTGCCGGGCTGCTGAGGGTCTGCAGTGATATGTGTGTCTGAGTTACACATCTACATGGAGAGCAGCGATTCTGACTCCTTGCTCTTGGGAAGAGCAATGGAGAGGGTTTTCTTCATGATTCTTATGTTAACAAAATAAAACTTGTTTCTTATAAATTGAGTCAATATGGTATGCTAGGACATGCAAGGATGTGTGTTCACTAGCACTCCCTAGTGCTACYTTGAAAAACAAAATCAAAATTTTTAGTCCTCACTGCATCTCTCTTTTTTTACTGCATTTTTTAAGCCTGAATACACCCTTGATATATGACACAGGCCTGAGATGGATGGCCCCTTTCATGGATGTGACTCCCTCTGTGTTGCCAGAGCAAGGGCCAATGCACAGACTTGTCTGGAAGTCCCTCAGTTGGCTTTTGTAAAACCCACTGCAGCATTTGGACTCTTACCTCATSAGCGCTTCACAGCTGTCAGTATCTTCATTCTTGTGTTACCTGGAACAACTGCTTCACAAAACCAACAAAAAAATTAGGAAGAGGTAGGTTTATCTATATCCACTTTCTCTTGTGATGATGCAGTCCTTTAATTTCAAGCTATGTCCAGACCTGATTTAATGGAACAGTCAGTTTCTCTGTGAGTAAGGGAGAAGGAAACAGGAGACCTGTAAATCTGTTCCACTGCTTATCTGATTCTATTCAGTCTGGTAAAACAGTGCTGAAATGCATGGACTCAAAGACAGGATGGCAGGGAAGGAACACAGGTCCCTTTTGCTGGCCTAAAGATCCTGCTTCAACACTTGATGGAGAAAAAGGAAAATTTAGTCTGAATCATATGCAGAAGCAGTCAATATTGGAAGGGGGGAAAAAAGGACAGACAACCAAAAAAACATTCATATTCTGAAAAATRTGCTTTCTAAGGTGCCTAATGTGTTTGGCCGTTCTGCTTTTTAAATTAAATTTTAGGAGAGGCTCCTAAAAACCTAAAAGTGCTGAACATCAGGGAAAAGCAGGGCTGGCAGCCATCTTTCCTCCATGGGAAGAGCGAGGTTTGCAAATGAAACGCCAACACCAAGCGAGACCCAAATGCATCAGTGTAATAGGAAGAGGGAAGCAGCAAGGCACAGTGTGATATTCTGAGCCACTCTGAGATGAGTCATCGGCAGGGTGGGCTCGCCCATCTCCAGCCAGAAACACAGCARCAACACACCCAGCCTCTCCTGCCACCAGAGAAAAACCAGAGAAAAACCGCTCGGCCTCTGCACCTCCAAATGTCAGGGTGAGACCCCCCGTGAACCAGATGTCAGAAAGGCTGTTGCCTTTACTTATCAATTGGAAACATATCCTAAGAGCAGCTATCTCCTAATCCTTGTTATAGCACTCAATTAATGCAGTACAGCTCGTTCATGATTAGCTCTAASCTGGGTTGTGCTTGGAATTGCGTCTTAAACTCACTGCTACAAACGGGCAAATTCTTCCTCCTCCTGCTGAGCTTGGCTATCAGCAGGTGGGAGCACACAGGCCTGTGAGAGCATTTGCAGGCAGCTGGAATATTTTCCAGCGCCCCGTGTGCAAGGACAGAGGCTGCCATCTACCAACAGTCACGGGGTGATGCATTGTGGTGCCTAAGCCAAACTTTTTGCTTTGGTTTAGATAAAAATGTTTACGCCTCTGTTGGTTTTTTTCCATTTCCCAGCCTSTTTTTCAGTTATCTGTTTCCTCAAGGTGGAGGACAAATGACTGTTACAGCATTTGAACACACGGAATGAAGTAACCTTCKAGAAGAYATWCAGATTTTCTTTTTAAATAAGCAGACATACATATTCCATACTCAGCACAGAATTTGCCATTCACTGATCCACAGCAGCAGCTCTGATTTGGGATTTGCTTATCCCTTTCATCAAGTTTAGAGAGAAATATTGTCATGTAAATGATGATCTTTCAAAGAGCTCTTTAAAATCTAACTCTTAGAAAACAATAATGGAAACAACACACAAGCATTATCTACTACTTTTTATCAAACGATCTTGAAGTTTTTGACCAGAAAGACAYAGTTAATTATTTCCAGGCAGGAAAAGAGAGGCACAAAATGGGGGCAGGCAGAAAAGTATCCTAATCAAAAAGAACATCTATGTCTCCCATTATCTATTCAAGTACCTTACACACTACTCTGCACCTTGKATATTAGTTTCTCCTTAAAGAAAATCCCTGGAAAGTCTTTCAACAGCTTCCAATGTCTCATTTAAAATCAGGCTTAAAGACAGCARAGGAGACAAGCAACAAGGTTTGGAAAAAGATGTGCATATAGTAGATTTATTTTGAGCTTTGCATGTCAATAAGAACCAGGTTTACCAGCTGCTCTAGCCTGTGCCAGAGCTGACGGAAAAGGAACAACTTTTATCAGGTGCACTTTGGCAGTGACAAGGTCCATCTTCAGATTGCAGAGATGCTCAGCAAAAATGGAAAATACCCCCTGTTAAATGACAGTAGTTCAAGCTTTTTCACAGAGGTCTGAGAAGCTGAGTTATACTGCCGCCATAACAAAGCATGAGCAATATTTCCCCACCTGCAAGCCAAGAGTTTAAACAAAAGAGTTTTAAACAAATATAACTTTCCGGGGAGGGGGGAAGGACATTGGTTTAGAATACATCAACTTAGAAGTTGTGAATAATCATCTGTGGATGAGACAGCCATCCTCAGGAAATCCGAGCAACAGCCCTTTTCTGGCTGCCATAATGCACTCCCAGAGCTGAGGGAAAGGAACCCAGCCACCCCTGGGCACACAATTTGCTGTCCAGGAGAGTCACAATTCTCCACAGCCGCTCCTCCCCTCTCCAAATGCAAGGCTGCAGACCAGGGCACAGCTCATCCACACTCCATCTGACATACTTCCTAATGTACAAATAGTTTACTTACTTCCACTTTCATGTTTTGAGGGATTTTTAAGMAAGAATGCCCATTTTTGGCAACCGACATGCAAATAATCTGAGTAGCTCTGCCAGACAATCCACCTTGCTTAGCCAGTGACCTTCCAAGCCGAGTCCCCATCCAGCTGACCCTTTCCAGCAGCCCTGGTTCATCAGCAAGGGTCAAAACTGAGCTTCTCTCTCACAGTGAAGTTCTTTAACTCAGATCCTGGTCATTTATTGACCCCACACTGTGCCTGTGCACTCAGAGCTTGTTAAGAGGTGTTGAGCATGAAGAGAACAGCCTCAAAATCCAAAGCAGCAGTGATGTCTGTTTGAATTCAAGGAAATGGTGCGTGCAGGAAGCAGTTATAGTACTATGCAGGTGAACCCCATTCTGGGGTATCTGTATCTGTATCTGTAGGGTTCACATTTTCTTCTCTCTTATCTCCCTCTAAGAACATCTCATTTCTCATACCCTTGTGCAGAACACCTCCATCTTCATCATTTCCTTTTGGGCACCTCCATCTTCATCACAAGCCCAGCCAGCCAYGCAGTATCTCTGTGCATGTATGAGTAGATAACATTATTTTGGAAGCTCTGCTGGGAGTTACTTGTTTGATTATTTATCTTTTTTTTTGAGAAGATTATCAGAGCCACATTTCCAGCTGTCATTGGCTACATCTGGATTAATAAATTCATGARTGGAACAGAAAGGTGCCAGTGACTGAAACTGGCCATGATGTCAAATGCTCAGAAAGGCACACTTCTGGACAACACCAACTAAACCTGCCCCAAACAATTCCTGGACATGGCAGAGATTTAATACCAGCTAGTTATCAACTCTAATGGGCAGATTGAACACAAGCCTCCCTCTTTTGAAGGCTCRGAGAGTTCACTATTACAGAGGTGAMTGGACCATGCAGATGGATCAGTACCAGGAATAAGTTCGGAAGTGTAGGTTTAGCATTAATTGAGCTCATCCTAGGGGTAGCTGACATTGGTTTTGGCCCCAGATGTTGATGGCTGAGCTTATCCTGGCTAGCAGAGCCTCTCATTCAAAAGGTCCACCCTTTCTAAAATGTTGTGGATATTAATAAAGATATGAAACCAGAAGTTACTGAAACCCAGAAGAGAAACTGGGTTCAACTTGGTTTAACTGTTTAGGTGAAGGAACACACAGAAAGAAGCTAGGAGCTCTGAAGATGGTGGAGGGCCTTGATTCTGCAACTATAATCCGAGTGAGCTCAATAAAGGCAGAGCCARCTGTGTGTCTGGAAGGTTTCTGAGCACAAGCCGGTCTGTTGGGCACACACCAAACCCAGTCCCAAGCAAACACCGCTCATCCCTGCGAGGCTGGGGCTCAACGCCGGGGACACCTGGGCCTGCTGAGTGCTGTGGCCAGTTCTGGGCCACTCCGTTCTGGAAGGACATCGAGGGGCTGGAGTAAGTCCAGAGAAGGGAACGGAGCTGGGAAGTGTTTAGAGCACAAATCTGTGAGGGAGCTGGGAAGTGTTTAGAGCACAAATCTGTGAGGGAGCTGGGGGTGTTTGGCCTGAGGAGGCTCAGGGGGACCTGCTCGTTCGCCACAATTCCCTGACAGGAGGGGTCAGGAGGGGCTCTGCTCTCAGGGAACAAACGACACAAGAGGACATAGCGTCAAGCTGCGCATGAGGAGGTTTAATTAGGAAGAGTTTTTTAACAGAAAGGGTGAKTAAACATTGGAATGCCCAGCAAGGTGGTGGAGTCACTGTCACTGGAGATGTTGAAGGAAGGACTGGCACGGTGCTCTTCGGCCATAGGTCGGACTCTATGGTCCCAGAAGCCTTTTCCACCCCGATCGATTCGGCGATTGTGCGATTCCTGTGCGTCCCCGCCCCGCTCCGCCCCGCTCCGCTCCGCCCCGCCCGCCGCTCGACATGGCCGCGCTGGGGAGGCTGCTGCGCGCCGCGGTGAGTGAGGGACCGCCCGCGGGCTGCCCTGTCCGGCCGCCGCCCTCACCCTCCCTGACCCTCCCTGACCCTCCCTGTCCCCGCAGGTGCCCGTGGCTGCCGCCGCCGGGAGGAGGGGGACGGCACAGCCCCCGCTCTGCGCCCGCCGGCCCTTCAGCCTGGGTAAGTGCGGGAGGCCGGGCGGGCGGGGAACGCGGCCCCGGAGCGCCCCGGGCCCGGCCCGCAGCTCTGCTTTCTCCCCTGCGCAGGATCCGCGCGGCTCGCCCCCGCCGTCACCCAGCACGCCCCGTTCTTCAAGGGAACGGCCGTCGTTAACGGAGARTTCAAGGAGCTGAGCCTGGATGATTTCAAGGGCAAATACCTGGTTCTGTTCTTCTACCCCCTGGACTTGTGAGTGCGGGTTTCTCCCCTTGCCGATGGGCCTCCTGCCCTGATGAAGGTCATCACAAACCTTGCTGGTTTTGCACGATTTGGGCCGGTCTTGCAAGGCAGATGTGCCTGTTTCTAGAGCGTGAGTGATAAGATTTGGGGCACGTGGCCGTTGTGTGTTAAAGCAGTGGGTAGGGTGGCTGGAGAGCATCTTCTAGCTGCAGGGACTGCCTGAGGAGCTGTATGTGGTTCCTGGTACAGTCAGATCACAGAAGTGAGGACATTGTTTTGCAGTCTGGGGCTGCCTTGGAGACTGTCCTTGAAGCACCAGGGCCAGCAGAACTGCAGCTGCACAGCTTCAAGGCAAAACATGACAGGATGGGGTTCAGTGTGTCCAGAAGACTTGAATCACCAAGACCATCCTCGTTCATGTGGACACATGGAGGAGGGTTTAACCTGCAGTCCTCTTTGCTATCGATTCCAAAAATTATCTGTSTGGAGAGTCTCTAGCAGAGACAGCTTCTCTGTCTTTATAAACATTTTATCATCTCTCTGTCTAGAACTGAGAGATGATAACTGGTGTGCCAGCTGCTTAGCTATGACTGAGATGGAAACTTACSTTGAGCAGGAAACATGGTTAAAAATATCAAGCTAAAGAAAACGCTTTGCTGCATTAATGCATAGAAACAGACCTGAGAGYCTTTTCTAGAGAAGTTGGCAGTTATTACAGCCTGATCTCTCTTCCCACCAGCACCTTTGTCTGCCCCACGGAAATTGTGGCTTTCAGCGACAAAGCAAATGAATTTCGTGACGCGAACTGTGATGTGGTGGCAGTTTCAGTGGATTCTCATTTTTGCCATCTGGCCTGGATAAATACACCACGAAAGGTATGAATTGAGTACCTTTTGCGGGCTTTCTTTGTTGGTTTGGTTTGGTTTGGTTTGGTTTCTTCTCACAAGAGCTCTAGAGAAGAGGAGTTGAATAAGTGATTGTGCCAACACTGATTCTTAATAGGTTTCCTAAAGTGGTATATGTTCAACTTCTACATTTGGAGACATAATTCTGACATCTGTCTTTTGTTTTCCTTCTCTTTTCTTAATTATTTGGGTTTTTTTAAATTGTTTTGCTATGTTGATAGTCTTGTTGATAACATTATATCCTTCCACCTTTATCTCAGAAGACAAATGCTCAGTTTTTGTGTCACTGTCCTGTGACAGCTGATAAGGCACAGAAACTATCTCAGAAAATGAACAGCAGCTGTCCAGTCATTACTGTTAACAACTTAACAGTGGTGGCTTCAGGATGGAAGCGGAAGAATCAGCAGCTTACTGGARCACTGCTATCATTGATTCTCACATGTTGAAAGGGTTCCACTCTTGCAGTACAGATAGAGGTTTTTGGCTTTCTTTAGGGAAAGAAAGTGGTAAAGACAGCCTTTTAGTGGAGAGGAGCCTCTTCCAGATGTATATAAAAATAYGTGCTGTTGATCACATAAAGCATCTCCCTAGTTTAGGTGATTGTAGAGCCACAAGTGTCCCAGGAAGGTGCAGAACCATCTGTGCCATCAGTCCCAGCCTGTGTGGACAGCAGTGTGCAGTAGTGSTGCCTGCTGGGTGCCTTCTGGCACCATTGGAACATGCAGGGGAGGGAGGAGAGTTTGCTGCATTTAATACACCTTGGCCAAGCCTATTGGGAGTGTTTATTTTCTGTGTGCTTTGTTCAAAGCTCTGCAGTGTGACTGAGGCCTGAYTTCACAGCTTTATCCAGGTGTTCAGGGCATGTCATTTGTGCATATAACATATTACAGATGCACAGAGTATTCTGAGTTGGAAGGAGCCTACAAGGATTATCGAGTCCTACTCAAAACATCCTGCACAGGGTGGAAAGAATTCCCTGGRGGCACAGGCAGGAAACTGAAACCCAGAGAAGCTGAAGCCTTGGTTTCTCCCTGTGTAGGGAACTCTGCTRCAGACAAGTGTTTGCAGGATCAGGGTCTGAGTGGCTGAGATTACACAGCGATTCACTGATGATGCCAGGAATAGCAAAGCTAACAAACTCCAGCCTTGTTTCAAGGTTAGAGAGCTTATCTCTCTTGCAGTCTCAGTATGTGGCAAAACTAAAAGAAATTTTGCTTGACTCTTCAAATAATATTTAAGTTTATTTGTGAGAGGCAAAAAAAAAAGATACATGTACTGAATAGAGCAGCAGAACACTGACGTATCTAGAGTGCTGGTAGAAGCACTATTTAGAATAAGAATTTTTAAGGTTGGAAAAGACCTCTAGGATCATGAAGTCCAACTCTGCCACCACCACCATGTCCTCCAGTGCCACAAACCACATTTTTTCCCATGCCCTGGAAGCCTGTTCCAATGGCTGACAATCCTTTCTGTGAAGAAATTTTTCATATCTGATGTAAACTTCGCCTGGTGCAATTTGAGGCTATTTCCTCTTGTCCTGTCCCTTGTTAGCTGGGAGAAGAGGCTTATCCCACCTGGCTACCACCCACTTTTAGGCAGTTGTAGAGAGTGGTAAGGCCACCCCTGAGCCTCCTTTTCTCCAGGCTAAATAACCTCAGCTCCCTCACTTGTTCCTCATCAGACATGTGCTCCAAAGTTCGCTTGTTCACAGTTTGTTTTCCTTTCCCTCCTCACCATGTTCATCCTATTAAATTCTGAACACTTAAATATGCAATAGAAATTTTTCTATTCAAAGCTCCTGRGTAGGGTACAAAGGAAGTTTTTTCTAGAAATTTATGGCTGTTGCCATTGCTAGCCTTTTAGGACCAAAATAAAYAATTCTAAAATGCTCAGTGCAAAAGTAGTTATCTCTGTCCAAAGAACCAAATGTTCCTGACTACTTCAAAACAAATAAACCTAATCTACACACACATTTGGTTCCTTTCATGGAGCAAATGGCATGGTTTGTTTTGTTGTTACTATAACCTCAAGAGCATGGAATCCAGCAACTCAGGAAGGATAATTCCTGCATTTTGTAACCAAGTGGAATCTTTCTCTGTTCTCTAGAGYGGCGGCTTGGGCAAAATGAATATTCCAGTTCTGTCAGACCTCACAAAACAGATTTCCCGTGATTATGGGGTGCTKCTGGAAGGACCTGGCATAGCACTAAGGTAAGGCATTACTGCTGATGGCTTTGCTGTGACACAGCCCAGTCTAACCAACAAAAGCTACACAGTCCCCTCCTGTGGGGAAATGGCATCAAGTGAAGACTCTGGGATGCCATTTCTGCTGCAGGATGGCTGGATCCCACCCTAGGAAAAGGGTTCCCAGCCTCTGACAATGTGTGCATGGGAAAGCCACTTCTGCCCTGAGATGGGGAGAATTCCATGTCACTAAGGAAAATGAGTAGCRTGGAAGAGCAATTTCTGATACTTTTTTTCAATAATAGTCTTTAAGAAACAGTRGATTGGGTAGGAGTCTTTTGGAGACCTTCAGTTCTTGATCTTTTTGGATCAGGAATTTTTGGCGTTTGTTTACTGACAGATTAAGTTAATTAGTATGGTAAGAYTGAGACTTTGGTTTTTACAAATATTTGTGTGCAACAGGACTTAATTTAGTAGCATAATGCATAAGCATCTCTTCACTCAGATTTGGTCAAAAAGACATGGGAAGGATGCCAGCTTTCAGTTTTGAAGTACAAGGTGGAACTGTGAGCTCTGCCTTTGCTGAATGTGCCTCAATTGAATAGTCTCTATGCATGCTTTGTAATTTCATAGCACCATAGCAGTTGATCACTTTATTAAGAAATAAACAAGATCCCAAATGCTGTAGTGCTGCTCCTGGCTGATCCRTGCACCTAGGAATAACCACCTCGCTGAAATTGTTCATCCAGTTCCTTGTGTTTGCCTTAGAACATGGTTTGCCTTCCCTAAATTCCTGCTCCATTCCAGAGGTCTGTTCATCATCGATCCAAACGGGATCATCAAGCACCTGAGCATCAATGACCTGCCCGTGGGGCGCAGCGTGGAGGAGACTCTGCGCCTGGTGAAGGCTTTCCAGTTCGTGGAGACACATGGAGAGGTGTGCCCAGCCAACTGGACTCCAAACTCCCCAACAGTGAGTGCCTGCTCCTTACTAAATATCATCTTCCTAAATATAGAACTGGCCTAGTTGTGCCTGTCTGGAGGGCTGGGATCCACTCTGATGTGAGGTGCTTGATGAATATGTACCCGAGGCTTGTATCGCTTGGACCAATCTTGGTCTGATACTAAATGTGGGATTTCTGTGAAGAAAGTCACTGGTTTCCTTTTAGGAGATGCAAATTGTGTTTAAAAGTCCAGATTTGACTTGCACTCTCCACTAACMGAGTTCAGATTTTTAACATATTCAATGCTTTGTAAATTAACAGAAAAATGTGTTATATACTTAAAATTTTCAGTTAGCAGTTGTATATGATCTAGGCTTTTGTCTCTCAAACCAAGTGCAGAAACAGAAATAGATTATGGTTTTTATAAAGTATGTATGGATTTTCTTGTATAAAGTGTCAAATCTGTATTTTTTTTGTCTTGCCTGTAGCATGTAATAACTAAACTTTYTTTTCTTGACAGATCAAACCAAGCCCAGAAGGTTCTAAAGAATATTTTGCAAAAGTGAATAAATAAACATTCAAATATTTGGACRAAACTCTTAGTTACCACACACTGAAGACATTAGGAAAACAGCTGTGATTGTAAAAATTAATAATAAAAATAAAAGCTCTYGTTTTCTCATGTTTAAGGAGAAATTAAATGCTGAAATATTTACTGACTCCCTTGTCTTGCTTTAAAAAGGAGGGTAAAAACTAAGGCTTTTCCCCATCTTCTGCAACTTTGGTTTCATGGATTTGTGTGACCACTAATCATCATCCTGAATGTGATGAGTACACAAGTTACAGTTGTCTTCCACTGGCTTTTCCCTCTTCCTTAACAAGTTTTGGATCAGAAAATACCCTGCATTTTCTTTTCTCACAAAACATTAAATTCTGTTAAAAAAAAAGTTTGAAACAATATGGACAAGATGATAGAATTTTGATACATGTTTTGTTTATAAGGAATTTTGCAGAGGAAGAGATGAATGTAACAAAATAGTTTTAAAATATATTGCTTTTGTGTGTAAGTGCTCTAAAACATGAAATGAATGTAAATATGTGCCATTTAAAAAAAATGCAGCTACTCAGGAGCACTAACAAGCATGAATTTTAATTCTGTTTGGGGGATGGTAAAAACTTGAACCCCCATAGTGCACTTATTGGAGCTTAATGGCACGTTTTCTGTCAGTTGAATTTGCTTCACTCTTGTACTGCTTGAAACTGATGTAGCATCTCTTTAGCTATAATAAAATAATCTTAACATGGACTAGCAGCAGGTGTGGTGCTTTGCTTTTCTTTTCTTTCCCTTTCCCCCTAAGCCCTGTTTCTGTGTTTTGAAGGTGTTGGTTGTGTTGTTTTGTCTCAGCAGCTCCATCCCGCACCTTTGTTCACGGCTGCCACAGCCTGTGGGGAGCAGGACAGGGACACAGAGCCGTGGGGGTGCTGCTGGAAGGCTGCAAAACTCAGTACAACATTCTGAATTCCTGTTTTTAATTTTCTGTCCCTTTGAGCAGGGAAACACAAGGGAACCGCCTTGGCAAGGTGGCCGAGTCCTAAACCAGCTTTATGATGGGGATCAGTGCTTGAATGTAACAAGGGATTTAAAAATCAGACTGATGTGCCATGCCTGTTCATTCTCCAGGTCCCAGTACTTGCAGATCTTTCCGATCCAAGTTTTTCGTGAAATGTAACCATGGAATTTTTCTAATACACCTGCTATTTGCCGCACCTCGAGTGGCCACTTTGTGCCTGCGAGACCGCGGGGCCGCGACACCCCGACCTTAACCTGGCACCTGCCCTGTCCTTCAGAGGCTGCGACACCCCGACCTTCACCTGCCCTGTCCTCCAGGGGCGGCGACACCCCGACATTCACCTGCCCTGTCCTTCAGGGACCGCGACACCCCGACATTC